CCACATGAGTATAGTCCTACAAGTGTACTCCACATCAATGAGTATAGTCCTACAAGTGACACCTACAAGTATACTCCACATGAGTATAGTCCTACAAGTGTGAAGTATAGTCCTACAAGTGCACTCCACATGAGTATAGTCCTACAAGTGTACTCCACATGAGTATATTCCAACAAGTGCTCCACATGAGTATAGTCCTACAAGTGCACTCCACATGAGTATAGTCCTACAAGTGCACTCCACATGAGTATAGTCCTACAAGTGCACTCCACATGAGTATAGTCCTACAAGTGTACTCCACATGATGAGTATAGTCCTACAAGTGCACTCCACATGAGTATAGTCCTACAAGTGCACTCCACATGAGTATAGTCCTACAAGTGCACTCCACATGAGTATAGTCCTACAAGTGTACTCCACATGAGTATAGTCCAACAAGTGCACTCCACATGAGTATAGTCCTACAAGTGCACTCCACATGAGTGTCCTACAAGTGTACTCCACATGAGTATAGTCTACAAGTGCACTCCACATGAGTATAGTCCTACAAGTGTACTCCACATAGTATAGTCCTACAAGTGCACTCCACATGAGTATAGTCCTACAAGTGCACTCCACATGAGTATAGTCCTACAAGTGTACTCCACATGAGTATAGTCCTACAAGTGTACTCCACATGAGTATAGTCCTACAAGTGCACTCCACATGAGTATAGTCCTACAAGTGCACTCCACCTACCTCCACATGAGTATAGTCCTACAAGTGCATTCCACATGAATATAGTCCTACAAGTGCACTCCACATGAGTATAGTCCTACAAGTGTACTTCACATGAGTCTATAAGTGGTATGTCCTACAAGTATTCCATATGAGTATAGTCCTACAAGTGTACTCCACATGAGTATAGTCCTTGCACTCCACATGAGTATAGTCCTACAAGTGCACTTGTCAGAAGTGCACTCCATCGTACAAGTGTACTCCACATCTCTGAGTATTTATGTCAACTGAGTATCCTTAAGTGCACTTAGCAGACGAAATTCCATGCATATGAGAACTATCCGATGCAGATAACATAAGTACTCAGAAATGAGTTATTTCTCCCGAAGGATTATGTTCAAGCGCTGTTTTGTCATTGTTGTTGATATAACTGATGAGGATATTTCTCATATGCTTGAAAACTACGCCGAGCCCGATGCAGAATGGCCACGTAAACAGCTTGTTGGTGATGGCAGACAGTTACAGGTGAGGTACAAGATGTTTTTATTGTACAGATTGGACGATGTGGATGCTTGGGTGTAAAGGGTTTGTTGTGTTGTGCGTTATTTTTTGGGGAATTATTAGATTGACTGAAAATAAGGATAAATAAAAGAACTTTGATTCTCATAACCCTATATTGAATTGATTTACTCTTTGTTATGGATTGTTGTCCTCAGTCATACACTTTATATTTGCCTCAGTTTCCACTATTCATCGTTGAAAATTCTTCTATGGAAATCTTACAATAAAAATAAGGACAGTCACATTGAAAATAGTTTTCCCTTTGTTCTCGACAGATACTTAATGCAGATAACAAAAGTACTCAGAAATGAGTTATTTCTACCGAAGGATTATGTTCAAGCGCTGTTTTGTCATTGTTGTTGATATAACTGATGAGGATATTTCTCATATGCTTGAAAAAATACGCTGAACCCGATGCAGAATGGCCACGTAAACAGCTTGTTGATGGCAGACAGTTACAGGTGAGGTACAAGATGTGTTTATTGTACAGATTGGACGATGTGGATGCTTGGGAGAAAAGGGTTTGTTGTGTTGTGCGATATTTTTGGGGGAATGATTAGATTTACTGAAAATATGGATAAATAAAAGAACTTTGATTCTCATAACCCTATATTGAATTGATTTACTCTTTGTTATGGATTGTTGTCCTCAGTCATACACTTTATATTTGCCTCAATTTGCTTCTTTCACCGTTGAAAATTCTTCTAGGGAAATCTTACAATAAAATGAAGGACAGTCACATTGAAAATATTTTTTCCCTTTGTTCTCGACAGATACTTGATGCAGATAACAAAAGTACTCAGAAATGAGTTATTTGTCCCGAAGGATTATGTTGAAGCAATGTTTTGTCATTGTTGTTGATATAACTGATGAGGATATTTCTCATATGCTTGAAAACTACGCCGAGCCCGATGCAGAATGGCCACGTAAACAGCTTGTTGGTGATGGCAGACAGTTACAGGTGAGGTACAAGATGTGTTTATTGTGCAGATTGGACGATGTGGATGCTTGGGAGAAAAGGGTTTGTTGTGTTGTGCGTTATTTTTTGGGGAATTATTAAATTGACTGAAAATATGGATAAATAAAAGAACTTTGATTCTCATAACCCTATATTAAATTGATTTACTCTTTGTTATGGATTGTTGTCCTCAGTCATACACTTTATATTTGCCTCAATTTCCACTATTCATCGTTGAAAATTCTTCTATGGAAATCTTACAATAATTATAAGGACAGTCACATTGAAAATATTTTTTCCCTTTGTTCTCGACAGATACTTAATGCAGATAACAAAAGTACTCAGAAATGAGTTATTTCTACCGAAGGATTATGTTCAAGCGCTGTTTTGTCATTGTTGTTGATATAACTGATGAGGATATTTCTCATATGCTTGAAAACTACGCCGAGCCCGATGCAGAATGGCCACGTAAACAGCTTGTTGGTGATGGCAGACAGTTACAGGTGAGGTGCAAGATGTGTTTCTTGTGGCAGATTGGACGATGTGGATGCTTGGGAGTAAAGGGTTTGTTGTGTTGTGGTTTTTTTTGGGGGAATGATTAGATTTACTGAAAATAAGGATAAATAAAAGAACTTTGATTCTCATAAGCCTATATAGAATTGATTTACTCCTTGTTATTGATTGTTGTCCTCAGTCATACAATTTATATATGCCCCAATATCAATAAACCTTTGTTCATTGCAGACTCTTCTATGATAATATATGAGAAAATTGAGGACAGTCACATTGAGAATTCTCTTCCATATGTTCTTGACAAATAATTGATGCAGATTAGAAAAGTACTCAGAAGTTAGTTATTACTACGAAGGATTGCGTTCAAGAACTGTTTTGTCATTGTTGTGATATAAAGGTAAAATTTTTCTCTGCTAATGTATTCATATCATAAGAAACAGGTGTTCTTTAATGTTTTTTTTTTATTTTCTAAGATTTTTTTTACACTTGTATATATATATATATATATATATATATATATATATATATATATATATATATATATATACACACACACACACACACACACACACACACATGTAATACGCACACATACTGTATATATTTGTTTTCGTGTATGCGTGTGTGTGCGCATCTATATGCACATACAATGTAAACACACATATATAAAAGGAAGATAAAATTCTTACACAAACTAGATAGACTGGAATAGATATTTTATTGACCAAAGAGCTGGGACGACCATCATAGAGAAACATTTTATTTATATAAACAACACACAAAAATCTACAATACCAAACTTAAGAAAAAAAAACAAAAACAAACACCAAAAACTCACAAAAAACAAGACAAAAAAATCATCAAAAATAAATCTAAAAAAAACAAAAAATCATCACAAAAAAAAAAGAAAAAGAAAAGAAAAGAAAAGAAGAAGAGAACAAGAAAAAGAAAAAAGAAGAGAAGAAAAAGAAAAGAAAGAAAGAAAAAAACATTTTAAATTTCTCTGGCCCACAACAGTTCATAAATCGTGGACCTCGTCTTGTTGTTCAATTTAAAGAGGTTTTCGTACTCGATGTTGGGTTGTCGGGTCACCAGGCGGAGGTCATGGCAGGTCAGCTGTTGGAAGTAATACCAATACTTGCGTATCCTCTCTGTCAAGCCTGGAGGAGAGAGAGAGAGAGAGTGAGAGGGATGGAGAGGGATGGAGAGGGGGTGGAAGGGATGGAAAAAGAGAGGGATGGAGAGGGGAGAGGGATGGAGAGGGTTGGAGAGGGAGGGGAAGGGAGAGGGAGGGGGATGGAGAGGGAGAGGAGAGGGATGAGAGGGATGGAGAGGGAGAGGAGTGAGAGGGAGGAAGGGAGGGAGGAGGGAGAGAGGGAGGGAAGGGAGAGGAGGGATGGAGAGGGAGAGAGAGGGAATGAGAGAGGTGGGAGGGAGGGGAGAGGGAGGATGGAGGGAGAGAAGAAGGGGAAGAGGGATGAGAGGGAGGAAAGGGAGTGAAAGGGATGGAGAAGAAGGGGAAGGAGGAGGAGGAGGAGGGATGGAGTGGGAGAGGGAGGAGAGATGGAGAGAAGAGGGATGGAAAGGGAGAGAGAGAGGGGGAGAGGATGATAGAGGGAGTGAGAGGGATAGAGAATTGATTGAGAGGGACGGAGTGAGAGAGGAACGGTGACGGAGGGATAGAGGGAGGAGGAGGAGAGGGAGAGGAATGGAGGGAGGCGAACGGAGAAGGGGAGGGATAGGGGAGGGAGACAGTGAGGAGGAAGGAAAGAAGGGAGAGGAGAGGGAAAAGGAGGGAAGAAAGAAGATAGAGAAGGGGGAAGGGAAGGGAAAGGAGAAATAGGGAGGAGGGAGGGGAGAGAGGGGGAGGGTGGAGAGGGAGAGAGAGTGAATGAGAGAAGGGCGGAGAGAGAGAGAGGGGGGAGAGTAGAATATTAGAAATGATTACAACACTGCTATCAATATTAATGAAACCACTAATTCTAATTAACTAGAATATTATCAATAATAACAGCAATAACACCAATGATATTATCAATAATAACAGCAATAACACCAATGATATTATCAATAATAACAGCAATAACACCAATGATATTATCAATAATAACAGCAATAACACCAATGATATTATCAATAATAACAGAAATAATACAATCATATTACAACAGTAATATCAACAGTAAAAAATATTATCAATAATAAAAAGAACAAAAATGACAAGAAAACATCGATAAAGGAAGTAACAGTGGGACAGGGGAGTAGGGGGAGGGGCAGGGAGGAAGGGGTAGGGGGTAGGGGCGCCATAAGGACAAAATAAAGTTCTCGAATTATGTATCAGCCTTCATAGCAATTCTTGATTTGATTCCCGTGAAAGATAGATTCACTCTTTCCTCCAACAAAGCTGAACTTCGATTCCAAAGTTATGCATTTACGATGAATAAAAATGAACTACACAAAATATTTTAGGACGTAACCCACGGAAAAAAAGAGGCGCCATTTTTATTTATTTTTTCCCGCGCACCTTTCAATCTCATCCCCGGCTCGCCACTGAACACCAATAACAATAACAATAATAACTGTTCTATCACTCACCCTCGTTCATCGGATAAATATCTATCCCGATCTGCTTAATGTTTCCGATGATCTGCTGAGACGAAGAGAACAGGTCATCGAGCAGGAACAATTCTTCTCCGGCCGGCATGTCGACCCACAACAGGTCAATGGTCGATTCCTCGTGACCTAACATCTCCATGATCCTTAAGAGCTGGTCTTTCTGGAGGTGAGATATTCGTTATTATAATTTTTTGGGAAGGTAAATCTTCTGTTGTTAAGGGTTTGTATAAATTGTTATTTATATTTTTGTAGGTTAAATTATACACAGCATCCCTTCCTTGGTCTATAATCCTTCAGTCCATGATTCTTAAGAGCTGTCTTTCTGGAGTCAGATATTCGTTATTATATTTTGGGAAGGTAAATCCTCTGTTGTTAAGGGTTTGTATAGTTATCTATTATCTTTTTAAGGTTAAATTATACACAGCATCCCTTCCTCGCTCCATGATCCTTAAGAGCTGGTCTTTCTGATAGTTTCATTATTATTATTTTTGGGAAGGTAAATCCTCTGTTGTTAAGGGTTTGTATTAAATGTATTTATTATCATTTTTGGAGGTTAAATTATACACAGCATCCCTTCCTCGCCAAGAGCTGGTCTTTGTGAAGTAATAGTTTCATTATTATTATTTTGGGAAGGTAAATCCTCTGTTGATAAGGGTTTGTATTAATTGCTATTTATTATTATTATTATCCATTTTTGAAGGTTAAATTATACACAGCATCCCTTCCTCGCTCCATGATCCTTAAGAGCTGGTCTTTGTGGAAGTAATAGTTTCATTATTATTATTTTGCGATGGCAAATCCTCTGTTGATAAGGATTTGTATCAATTGCTATTTACTATTATTCATAATCATTTTTTGAAGGTTAAATTATACACAGCATCCCTTCCTCGCTCATGATCCTTAAGAGCTGATCTCTGTAAATCCTCTGTTGTTAAGGGTTTGTATTAATTGCTATTTATTATATATTTTTTGTCATTTAATTATAATGTTTTTGAAGGTTAAATTATACACAGCATCCCTTCCCCGGCCTCACCTTGGGCGGGTCCCCTGAGACGCCGAAATCCGAAGACACACTCATCTTGTAGAAGGCGATGTTGGAGGAGAGGTTTCTGCTCCCTTGCTCCATGGAAGGGTCGAACACGAAGACCTGAGGGGATGGAGGGGGAGAGGGTGAGCGAGAGGGTGGAGAGGGTGAATGAGAGGGGTGGAGAGGGTGAGAGAGGGGTGAGAGGGTGAGCGAGGGGTGGAGAGGGAGGGAGAGAGGGGGGACGTGAATGAGGAGGGGGGAAAAATGTGAGAGATTTAGAGAGGGGGGGCAGATTTAGATTTAAATATCGTTTTCAAATTCCATATCAATGATATCGATAATAAAAAAAAAGAACAACAGTGATAATAAAAAAACATCGATATAAGGAACAATAACAGGGGAGCAGGGGGTAGGGGACAGGGAGGAAGGAGGATAGAGGGGAGGGGCATACTGTCTGTTTTATTTTGCTTCTAAATCCCCCCCCCCCCCCCTACCCCTGTGTGCGAGGTATGGCCGGGTGACCAACCACTGGCAGAGCGCGGGATTGAACGCGCTAACAAAAACAGAGAGAGAGAGAGAGAGAGAGAGAGAGAGGAGAGAGAGAGAGAGAGAGAGAGAGAGAGAGAGAGAGAGAGAGAGAGAGAGAGAGAGAGAGAGACAGAGACACAGAGACAGAGAAAGATAGAAAGAAAGAGACAGAGACAGACAGACAGACAGAGACAGAGCCAAACAAAAACAGAAAGAAAATGGAAAGAGGCCGACAACAGAAGAGAAAACCGAGAGAAAATAAAGGATGATAATAATAATAATAATAATAATAATAACAATAATAATGATAAATAATAGACCTTGCAGCCCAGCTTTCTCTCGACCTCCTCGGCGAAGGACCAGTCACCGCCGAGACCGAAGAGGTACACGAGGCAGTGGTCTCTCGTGATGTACTCGCTGTCGGTGCACACGCGACGGCCCTCCAACAGCGTGTGGTCTGTGGGTCCCGCCATCTGCATCTGGGGTTGAAAGGAGGTTGGAGGTGTTTTTTTTTTTAAGGGGGGGTGGGGTGGGTGGGGTTGGGTGGGGTTGGGGTGTTTGTTTGTTGTTTGTTTGTGTG